TATGATCACCAGTAGCCCATAGAGTAGGCGATGGCGCTACACCTTGGCCTACGCCAGCGCCTACCAGACGTTATTGATGATGGTAAGGGTTACCATCATTGATGGGTTGATGGTAAAGATTACCATTATTGATGGGTTGATGATAAAGATTACCATTATTGATGGGTTGATGGTAAAGATTACCATTATTGATGGGTTACTGGTAAAGATTACTCTTACTAATGGGTTGATGGTAAGGATCACTGTTATTGATTGGTTGGTGGTAAAGTCACTCTCATTGATCGGTTGATGGTAAAGATTACTCCTATTGATCAGTTGTTGATAAAGATAACTCTTATATTGACTGGTTGCTGGAAAAGATTTCTCCTGTTGATCGGTTGGTGCTAAAGATTACTCTTATAGATTGGTTGCTGATAAAGATAGCTCTTATTGATTAATTGCTGGAAAAGATTTCTCCTATTGATCGATTGGTGGTAAGATTACTGTTATTGATCGGTTGTTGATAAAGATAATTCTTGTTGATTGGTTGCTGGAAAAGATTTCTCCTATTGATCGATTCTTCACATTGGGCTGACCCTTGTCGTGGTGGTGGAGCTTGTGTGTCTCAATGACCAAGAGAGCTGTGCCGACGGGGACTTTGGTCCCTGGCAGGTCTAACCAAGCCGAATTGGTTGAAGGGTAGAGGCCAGACGAAGAACAGCCCCTGGTCCTCCAGGTTGGGGGTTGGGCGGCGGGCCGATAACCCGCTCCCGGAAAAAGAAACATATTACGGAGACCGAAACTAGAATTACCACTGCGCCCTATCTGGAAGCAGGGGTACAAGATGCTAACACCCGGTTGGAGCAACGTGCGAAGCAGAGAATGACGCATAAACCGCCGATGAAATTGCTGTCGCCAAAAGCGTGTGTGAAGATCGGGCAATGGAATGTAAGGACATTGTTTGAGACTGGTAAGTGTGCTCAGGTGATCAAAGAGATGCTAAGATATGGTATTAGTATCCTGGGAGTAAATGAAATGAGATGGAGCTCTTGTGGGAAGTTGAGGATAGCTACAGGAGAAACTGTGCTGTGCTCAGGAATGGATGGAGGTGAAAATCATTAGAGAGGAGTTGGCTTCATTCTGTCTAAGGAGACCAGATGGACATGTAGTCAAGAGGGCACTGGAGTGGAACCCACAGGGGAAGCGAAAGAGAGGGAGACCCCAGCACACCTGGCGTCGTACGAGAATGGCAGAGTTGGAGAGGAAACATCTCGCGTGGAATGAGGCAAAGTGCACTGCACAAAATAGGGTTAGGTGGCGCACTCTAGTTGAGGACCTGTGTTCCATTAGGAACGAAGAGGAATAAGTAAGTAAGTATGGGTACTCCATTCAAATAGTCCATTGCCAGGTCCATTGGGGTAGTCCGTGGACTAGGGGTTAGCGAAATGTACCGACCCAGTATGGAGCCGCGATGTTGGTGTACCTCCACGGTAAGCCAACATTGCGGCCGGAAAATAGTGTAAACATCTGGAACTTACTTTAATTTAGCTATCTAGACAACTGATTATCTGTACTGAACAAACAAGCATTTACATAAGCACTTTTCCTAATACTTTAACTTCTGAATGGGCTAAAAATCACGAGATAATTATATGATTTCGACAAACGCGTTTCGTAGGTCTATGTCACGCACCGCAATAACAATGAAATTCAAAATGCCTTGTTTGCTTGAGAAACGCAAATAACAACGACAAAGGCTAAGGAAAATAGACTGAAACGTTTATAGGCTGATATAAAGACCTTGACTCATTTGACACCCTTAAGACCTGCGAACAAGTAATGAGCTATTAATCGACTCCGAAGAAATGCAGTCAAAAGCAGAAGAGCTTAACCACATCAATTCGATTGAATTTCGAACAACTTCAAATGCAGAACATTTAGCTCAATCGGAATATAGCTAGTGCTTCTGAGTATAACGACTGCCTGGGTACAAGCAGCAAAGCGTCTAGTTCATCATGCTATTGCAACTGGAGCATTCGTTCGAATAGTTTCCTTAGCTAGCTACGATTTCTTTCTCCTCAAGATCTACGGGCAATTCGGGCTCCATTTGCTCCAGTGCGTCTGACTGCTGATCGACATTATATATTTCGTTCGTTTCAGCACAAGCTGAATTTCTCGCTGACGGACATTCTTCTTCCCCACGTTTTCTCTGCGCTGGCTGCGGGTCAGTAACAATACTTGGTCCCACATCACGATCGTCACCTTCAACACCTTGTAGTACTTCATCTAAAGTCTGGAAGTTTAGAAAACCAGGACATTGAATTTGGATTAAGACATGTGCAAGACATCGTTAAACTAAAAGTCTTTTAGTTTAACGATGTCTCGAAAGTGACACATTATGGCAAACGAGAGGCTTGTAGTCAGTCTCACCTTTCTCCGCTTTCTCTCACTTCTATCACTCCCGGTCTTTTGTGGTACTATAGATGAAGCATGTACCGTAGGAAAGACGCTCACTCCAAGCTCGTCTTTTTTAAGCCCGGCTTTGAAGTTTGCCTCTGGAAGTCCAGAAAAATATCTTTGGAAATATACCGGCTTGAAGAGTTCCGAGCACATGGCCGAGCGCTTTGTCGGCTTCCAAAGCGCTCGTTTCGCTTTGATAAAATGAACCCATTTTTTACGTCTTTTACGAGCCTCGGCGCGATCATCGCCGAAGAACGGAATTATATGGAGAGCTATACCTTTTTCAAGGTTAGAAACGTTGTTGCAACCAAAGGCAACACAAGTAGTCGGCATTTTACAACACTTCGTGCAAGCTACTTCACTGATAATATCAACAAAGGGCGAAATAAATCTACTTGTTTGACGTCACGACTGACTTTCGACCCAGGTTCCTCTGGCACGGTAACGCGGGAAAATATTACGATTTTCCAGCACTTTCAGGGCGCATAAAAATTCGAGGTTTCAAGCAAACACAGAAATTCTTGTGGTATGTTACTCAGAAAGATATGACGATTTTGTTAAGCTGATAAAATTTTTTATACATGTAATGTGCGTGTGGGGTTATTACTTTTTCCACGACATTACTGAATCAAATCTTTCGAAGACCTACGGTGTACCATTAATGAACAACGACAGTGAGAGGGGTTCCAGATCATCGAGATAAAAAGAAAAAAACAGAAAGATATTTCTGGGTTAAGGCTCAATTCTTTCTAGTCATTTTTACCCTGAGCAGTAAAAATATGGTCATCTAAAGTCAATTGAACCGAACTGAGTCTACGCCTTAAATAATTTACTTACCCAGTGTAAAAGAGTGACCAAAGTGGGGCAATTTCTCCAGCAAAACTCATTATTTGCATTTTACTTCCACATTCGGCCAACTGTAAGCGTTTGAATTTCGTAATTGGACGAACCAACTTGCTGCATAATGTTTATCTATCCTTTTCGTACATTTGATGAAGGCAGGTGTTCACATCATCTTGTACACTTTACGTGGATTGCGCTACTGTAACTATCGAAAGCTAAGGTACAGAAAACTCTCAGTGATCAACTCTCAGTAAACATGGCCACCAGGCCAATGTTTGGAACACGTGACTTAGTTTAGCCCCTTGACTAAAGTGCACGCGAGCTCACGCGAGTATGATTACTCCCACAGGCGTTTACAACAAACAAAAAAGAAAATAAATCGCCAAACTGATACTCTCTGAAAGTTGAATACAGTGATTCATTATCGAGTGATTTGAAATAAATCTACATTTGGGAACACTTAGCAGGAGAACTCGAATTTTCGTGGCCCTGGCCGATGTCTCATCTCTTTGAAGCATGAAACCAGTTAGCGGTGCGAGGGTTACTGGGAAAATCAAAATGCGGAGACCAGTGTGTCTGGTATCGATACATCGATTTCTAGTATTTCGTTGTGAAAATGTCGTTCTGGGCATTTGTAATGTGTTAGGTGGAAACTAGTGAAAGTTTGGAAGGTATATTTCCCGGTGTTCTGATCAACCGTGGTAAAATTCTTCTTAAGAGATTCGATTCACTGTATAAACTGTCAGGGTCATCAAAGTTTTCCGGAGCCAGACAAGTAGTTGGTAAAATTTGACAGGAAGTGTTCTTACGAAGGAAATTAGCATGCGGTACTCATTGTGGTATTGGGATGTTTTGTCTGATTTAGGCAGGAGAGCAGCAAATCGATTGGGTCCTTGAAAAGGACTGAGCAACTTTGGACAGCGCTAACCATGCCATTTGCTAAACTCCCATGCCAAAATTGACAGTGGAGATGCCAAAAATATGGCAGACAAGTCTACCAAGATAACCATTTTTATAATTTGGGAAGCGTTGTAGAATGAATAAATTTAATTTCCCTATTGTTTGAATAATTTATGGCAAATATACAAAGATCTCAAATTAAATCAAGATATCTTAAATTTTAAATTTTTGTCGCCGTGAAAATATTTTTATTACTTTTGTTTGATATTGGTTTTTATTGTGATATCTTCACTAACATTTATGCTACCTTGCTGGTATTTATTATTATTATTATTATTATTATTATTATTATTATTATTATTATTATTATTATTATTATTATTATTATTATTATTATAGTAGTAACTGCGCAGTGTTGTGGTAATTCTTTCTTTAATAGTTTTTTTTTTTAAATGGTTTGAAATCTGGCCCGGGTTGTTCGAAAGCCGGTTAGCGCTAACCTAGGTTAAATATATGTTTTTGCATAGAAATATCTTTCACTACTCACAGTTATGTAGTTTAAGATGAATCAAACTCAAAACTGAATGTCAAACAACATAAACAGAAAACTGGACCGAAAAGTTACAAAACTGAAAAAATCAAAATTCTTCTCTAATCCTGGGTTAGTTTAATCAGGCTTTGAACAACCCGGCCCTGGATATTTGAGACTGTGGTGACTCAGTTACGTACCAGTATTAGTACAATATTGGTTTATTGCAAGAGATATATGGAGAGACTGTTGCTAAGTTTAAATTTTTATTAAATCCATTTTGAAATCACTGGTGATCCTTGCAATCTGATTGGTTCTCAATAGTGCGATTTATTCACAAATCGCACTATTTTTTGCTCTAAATCGCATCTTTTTCTCAGCCAATGAGAATGG